CTGGAAAATGCCCTCCAGGGCTTCTGCAACATTAAAAACGGTGCCGCAAATGAAAAAGAATAGCCAGTCCACTTCCCTGTTTCAATAACTGTCAAAATGAAGACAGGACAGGAGGACACAAGAAGACCTAAACATTCGCGATAAAAATAACAACAAAACGCTGATCAGTTCACAGACTTTCTGGAGAAAACTGCACCTCAAAGCTGGGACAACTGTGGGATGTTTCTGACTGAACGGAAATCATACTGACAGGGCCTGCATCCAACAACCTGCCCGGAGACAGGGAGTTTGAGGAGATATCGAATCAAACAGAAGAGAATCCAACAGATTCAGGAAGCGCTGAAGGGAAAAATGGAAGAAAAGATGAAGAAGAATGAGAATTTTATTATAAAAGTCAAAGAGCCGTACAAAGATAGAGAAACTATCAACGGAAGAGCTGTCTGCTGTAACGTCTGTATGGAGAAATGTCACCATCCTGGATGCACAGTGGCCAGGGGTCCAGAATGCTGTAAGGTCATGAGAAACGGCCGCTGCACAGTTTGTTCTAGGAGGTGTCATCACACAGCTCATGTGAAAGAAAACTGGATCTATGTGAACAAGGAAAGGGAAGTTGAGCAAACTCTAGAAAATGTGAAAAGGAAGTATGAAGAGAACAAGGCAGGAAGTGAGAGCAAGTTGAGTCTTTTAGAAATTCTTCAAAAGGAAACAGAAGAACTTCAGAAAGATAAAGATCAGTGGTTGGAAGAGTCCTTCCAGCATGTTGTCAAACTGGAGCAGATCGCCCTGAATGCTGATTCACTGTCCACTCTTGTCCACTTGGACTTCCTGATTGAGAAGATGAAGGAGAAAGGAGACACAGAGAAGGTCCAGAAACTGGAAGAGATGAAAAGTCGAGTGGATGAAGGAACCAGAGCTGGAATGAGGTACGGGTTCGGTAAACTGTCAGCAGCAGTTAAATCGATGATGAAGTAGATGAAGAACCTGACTGTGAGCAGACAGCTGTGTAAAAAACAAGATCTGCTGACTCGTTCTGGTTCTATGAATGTTGATGTAATAACTACAGAAGAAGATTGAAAGGTAATCTCCTTTTAAATTTCAAATGTGTGATTCCTGGAAGCAGCGCCTTTGTGGTTTCATGTAAAATCACCAACAGTTAGTCACTGTACAGAAGAACATCAGTGCTGAATGAAGGATTCACATCCTGTACCTACTGTAAGTAAAAGTACTAATGCCACAGTAAAAATACTCCTACGCTTGCATTAAAAATGTTACTTAAAGGTTCCATATGTGAGATTCTGATTCTGAGATTTAAGCATTATTTTGATGCATTAATCACTTTTAAGCACCAGTGAGTAAATGGAGTCCGCTAACATCTACAAACGACCGACACCCACCACAACACAGAGTCCAACACAAAATCCAAAGTCAAAGCTAACATTACTGCAGAGCTTGTGGCATATATATGTGACATATTGTCTGATTGGGCTGTTAGCTGGATAACGTTAGCTTACTTACTAATAATGACCAATTGCTATTTAGTTAACGTAGTAAAATACTGTCAGCTAGCTTCGTCCTGACTCCTGGGGCTGATCTGACTGGTTCGCCGAGGGGGCTGGTGCTGGATAACCCCTAGCTTGATTTAGCTAACATTATATCACGGTCTGGGTGAATACTGGACTCTCATTGGCTGCTGAGTGTCCATTGCTTCCTGATGTAGGACACATACTAAGTTCCAGTGAAACTTTCTGAATTAAGTCCTTCAGTGCCTCGTCCTGTGAACGCCACAGGATGGCGACTGTATCACACAAACCCATACACTGGCCGTCTGAGCTCACTGCTACTTCCTGTCAGAGATCTTCCTACATCTCTTCCGCTAACTATCACTGTCAAATTATATTTACGTTTGTTGACCGTACGCAGCGCCATTGACTTTAAATCTTGCTAGTGTAACGTTGGCTCTCTGAATGTAGGGAACTAGAAATCTCTCCTGTTGCCAAGTCGTATCTAAGGTTCGTCCTATTTACTGGAGCAGTGAACAACGTTTCCATTACATTATGGTAATGATTTTTCCAGCTATTAGGAAGAACCTCAGGTGTTACCATGGAAACGGAGTCATGGCTTGTAAAAAACATTTTGATTGCAAAACACATGAAAATATAAAATAATGATCTTATTTTGTATCTTTGGTAAGTGATGTATATATAAGGGGGATAATGTCCTTCCAGGTGTCCATCATCAGTAATTGATGATTCATTCCCGATAATAGACACCTCGTCGGGCAATATCCCATAAATAATGTAGCGGTAAAAAGCTAATGATTGCGTTCTACTGGCTGATGACAGCCACATCTAGAACCTTTAAGTTAAAGTAAGTGTAAAATGTACCTAAAGGTTTAGAAATATGACAGACTGCATCTAATGATTATTTTCTCATTATTGATGAAGTGAAACCTTCACAATGCTTGTTTTATCCAACCAATAACCCAAACCTCAAAATTATTACAAATACATTCAGATCATCATTACTATAAGTTGGAACCATGAAATGTTTTTACATTTAAAATGACTTTAATGATTATAAAAATAGTTGATGATGAATGTTCTGTCAATCAATGAACTGTCTGTTTCAGCTGTACTTGATTATTTTCATATGTTTAGTGTAAAAATATGAGTTTGTAAAGTAAGTGAAGCTTTTCTCTGCCATGTAAACAACTGGGACACAGCTAACAGCTCTGCCTTTAAATGGAGTGAGGACGCCCCCTGGTGGGTTAATGTGGGGTACACAGCTCCCTCCCTCCCCCGGTATATACAGACTATAACACAGTCCGGGTCCTGTTGTTTTCTGCTTTCCTGAGGATATTCCTCTTATTATCATGTGGTTCTTCAGTATGATTCTGCTTTTGCTGCTACTGAATAGATTGTCTGCATAAATATCACCATAGAATCAGCATGTTAGTAAGCTGTTGGGA